ATACAAAGGAATTGTACAGTATCATTTAAGAGAAGATGAGTAACATTTAAGAAACTATATGACCCATATTCAACTGATGAGAGATAATAACAAAGAATAAAAGACATTTGCTATATTGTAAAAATATCCCTTGATAATATTATTAATAAACATTTTCAATGCTACAACACTGAATACAAATTCACATTCATTCATATTATCAAAATCTAAGTCTAGAATACAGTCACATTCATGAAATCACAGTTTTTCTCACACAAATTACACAATACAAATGTCTGGTATGTAATAACAATGTCAAACTCTAAACAAAAGTGAACTCAATTTTCTTCAGCACTTAACCAATCTGCCTAAATATTTATAATGATCTACATATATATGAAAAAGAACTTTGTTTACAACTTCATATACTTAATTTAATATCACCATTTTTATGTAATGAGAGAATTCACCACTTAAAAAAATATATATACAAAAAATATAAAGACAGTCTACCTCACTATAATGGCCCTCATTATAACAGACCCCATTTATTATACGGATATTTTGGTCTCCCCTCTTGCAATGCACCAATTCTTAGACTGAATTGTTAAGATTTATGGCCACAAATGTGAAGAAAGTGCTGTAGATTCCACTGGATACTGATGCAAAATATAAATAAATGGTAAAGTAGCCTTTTACTTTGTTTGTTTCACTACCTAAGAAGTCCTTTGTCTCGCTTTGTGATCCTTTCCTTGCACTTTACAGTTACAGACATACATCACATCTGCTGTTTTTATTTGCCTAATAGCCTGATGACTGTTACAAATAGCATTTGCTGCTGGGAATTTAGACCAATACAGTGGATAATTTGGATAAATAACATGGATGACAATAAAGTATAGTGTGTAAATGTCAGGAATGAACACAGTGAGAAAGAGGCAGCCAACAATCGGAGATAAGGCTGTACCTTTTATATTTTAAGTTCCACTGTTTAAACTTTTGTAACTAATTACATTACCCATTGTTGCCAAAATTATATCAGTATTTGCAGTAATACTAGTAGTATTAGTTAAAGCAATCTTTCTACTACTTCTACTGTGAAACTGTCGCTATTTACTGCCGTCATACATTACTTTGTCATGCTATGTCATAGCACTTGCACTAATCCCCACCACCACATTCATTACTCTCTCGTGTCCCTTAATTCCCTGTCTTCCCCCCCCCTTTCCTCTTCTCCAGGATAATTATATGTTGCAACCCCTAATCTTCTAGAGCAATACTGTAGCTTCATCATCATATGAAGGACAATTCATCTGGCCCTTCTTAAATGTTGTGCTTTCACAATCAGTGGGTCGGGGGAAATAAATAAATGAAGTAATTTAAGAGTACCAACACAGAGTACTTTGCTTAGAAAAAAATAATAATAAGTAAAAAAAAAAATGCAAAGAAAACCCCTATTACATTTATTCACTGCTTTAAAATACAACCGATTGTCCTGAGAATGGGAAAAAAAATTCACAGCAAAAGCCAGGTAAGAATTTAATAGATCTAGATCCCCAGTTGTTACGGATCAATTCAATTATAAGACCAGAATTTACTCCTTTTAGTTAGTTGTAATGAGGATAGACTGTAATAATAAAAATAACATATTATCAGCACCATCAGTATCAATATTAGTATTAATACTACTAACAACAACAATAATTATTATTTCTATGAAGTAATACTGATGATTAGATAATAATAATTATCATAACAATAAAAGTAATAATGATTATTTTAATGATAAAGTAAAATAATAATAATACCCAATAAAATGTAAAAACAAAAAAACAAAATCAAAGGTAAAAGTGAAGCTTTTAAAAATAACATTTACAATGATATTCAACAGTGATAAAAAAAATAAAAATAATAAAATAAGATGAAGAAAGAAAATAATAATAATAATAAAACATGATTGATGACTGATGGATGATGATGATGATGATGATGATGATGATGATGATGATGATGATGATGATGATGATGATGATGATGATGATGATGATGATGATGATGATATGATGATGATATGATGATGATGATATGATGATGATGCTATGATGATGATGATATCATGATGATGATATGATGATATCATGATTGATGATGACTGATGACAACTGATGACGATTGATGACAATTGATGATGATTGATGATGATGATGATGAGGAGGAGGAGGAGGAGGAGGAGGAGGAGGAGGAGGAGGAGGAGGAGGATGGTGATGACAATAATGATAACAATGATGATGACAATGATAATGATGATGACAAGAATAATAACATCAATAATAATACCAGTAAAGTCAACTGAATAAAAAAAAAAGTTTTTCACAGTTTAAACAAAATAAAATAAAAAAAAACAGCACTAAGAACAAAGGCAAAAGCAGTAGTATGCAAAAACCTTCCCAATTTCCCTAAGTGTACAGAAATCCCTTGCTCACAGCCTTCTTTTCCCATGAACTATTCCCCAGTTCAGTTCTTTCTTTCTCTTTTCACCTCCCATGGCCTACCTCTAGTTAATATGCTCTCTATACGAAGCACACTTTTTTGTACGTAGACAACTCTCTTAACTATTAAGGATATTACATAGAGATAATCAAACTGCAAGTTGAAAAAAATACATACTCTTAAATGATTCTACTGCAATGTACAATTTACAATGGCTTTGAATAACACATTCATCCAACTGTACACTAAAGACACCTGATTATTTTTGCTTAGGAAAACATATTACAAATGCTAAGTATTTGGAGCTTACTTTATAAAAGAGGCCCATGTTTATGGTGCCACAGAGTTAATGGTGCTTGAACTTCCCTAATGCTGCATCTCACAAGATTCACAATTTCTTTAGAATATCTGCATCTCAAAGTTCTAGAAGGGATTTCTTTCTACATACAGATTTGAAATTGTCATTCTGTCTACTTATTACCAGTAATTCCAGGATAATTTTATCAATTGTTACCAATGTCTTTTGTCCTTTCTGTAATGGATTCCATGACCCTTTTTTTATCATATGAGTAATAGCATTATCTTCTGAGATAGAGTTACAATATGAAAAAAAAAAAAAAACATTCATCTTCTAACATGTCTAAAATCCCATTAAATTTTCTCTACTGAAAAAAAAATTAAATAACAAATACATCTTCCATCTTTTGCTAACCTGCTTTTGAAATATATTTACAATATAACAGAACAATACAAGTCATACATTAATCTCGTGGAAAAAGCAATCACCACAATAATACCTAAAATAAGAGGCAGAATCTGAGTCCTCTCCAGAGAAGAAAGACTCCCAGATCTGCTTAATCAGAATCGGAGTCCTCCATCTGCTCACTGGGCCCTGCGATTGGCCCTTCCTCCTCATCGGATTCCATAAAACGGGGTAAATCTCGGTAGAAATCCCAACGGTTTCTTTGCCTTGAGGACTCCAATTTGAACTGACTCTTGTCTATGTTAGCCTGGAAAAATGAAAGGTTTCATGTAGAGACAATCAAGTAATTTATATAACAAAACAATAGTGTGATTTATGCCAAACTTCAAATCCACATGCAATGGATGTTTGGAAACAGAGTTTCTCAAAATGCAAAATAAACTGGTGCAATACACTACATTTTTCTTTGTTAACTGATGGGATGAAAATGATTTGGTTAATATGGATCCTCACCTTCTTTTTAGGATTAATTTTCTTTCCATACAGATAATTAATGTTCCAAAAGCGCACCAATCCATCCATGGAACAGGAAGCTATGTATTTTCCTTCTCTGCACTTTTCTAGGCAGTTTATACCAAAATCTCGATGCTCCCCGACAACACCCACGAAACGGTGGGGGTAAAAATGCATAGCCCTGGAAAACAAGCTATATTTAACAAGTGGAAAATAAGCAAACAGAAGCAAATATCAAAGGAATCTAAAATGGTTCCACAAAGAAATGTATACTGAATCAGCAGAACAAATATATAAATATAGCTCAATTACCTATTAAGTACAAAAAACAGCTCAATACCATACCTGATGTTCCCATCATCATAGCCAGCCAGAATTAACTTGTCTGCAAGTGGTAGAACACAGTGGATTTCTTCAGGGACGCCACCGTACCTGTCTACATGGTAGCCAAAGTCTCCCCAGTTGAATATGTAGAATGTCCCTTCCTCCGACCCGACAACCAACTTTGATTCATTGCGGACAAGGGTCATGGCGTTCATCCCAGAATCATAGAACTCTGACTGTTGGATTAAAGCATAACAACTGTGTTTACAAGTTTTTCTTGAATATATAAAAAATAAAGAAGACTTCCAATACAATAGTGAACTGTGGCTAAGTAACCAATTCAAAATAGCCAAATACTACTTTTTATCACTGCATAATATGACAACTATGAAGCAATGAAGAAGGTACAGGAGGCACAACAAACTAACCTGCACTTCTAACTGCCTTTTCTTTATGTTAAATCCTGCTATGGACCCATCAACTAATGATGCACAAAGATACTTCATAGACCCATCTGTGATCAGGGAAGATACTGTCCCCTCACCACATTTGAAATCAAACACAGATTTTTTCAATCTCAGGTCCCAGATCTTGACTGTCCCATCGTCATCTCCTGTCGCACACAATCTCTCAGAAATGGATAAAAAGCTGTATATTGGAGATTCATGAGCCTCCTTGAAGTGATGTTTGATTGACTCCTTCTGGATATCAACAACAGCCAATGAGCAGTCCTTGCTTATGGTATAAAGAGTATTTCCATCTTCATTGTAACCCACTGCTCTGCATGGCTCTTTGTGATGCGTGAATTTTGCTACCTCATTAACACTTTCGAGGCTGTACTCATACCTGAAAAGATGAGGTCATATGTCTAATATGTCTCATAATGCTTCAAAATACTAATCAACATTTCTATCTTCACAGGCATTTGTTTTTACATGCTTCTCACTTTCCTTCCTTATTTAGATCACTCTTGTCTCATTCTCATTCTCATTCTATTTCTTTCTTTCTTTCTTTCTTTCTTTCTTTCTTTCTTTCTTTCTTTCTTTCTTTCTTTCTTTCTTTCTTTCTTTCTTTCTTTCTTTCTTTCTTTCTCTCTCTCCCCTCTCTCTCTCCCTCTCTCTCTCTCCCTCTCTCTCTCTCCCTCTCTCTCCTCTTCCCTCTCTCTCCTCTCTCCCTCTCTCTCTCTCCCTCTCTCTCTCTCCCTCTCTCTCTCTCCCTCTCTCCTCTCCTCCCTCTCTCTCTCTCCCCTCTCTCTCTCTCCCTCTCTCTCTCTCCCTCTCTCTCTCTCCCTCCTCTCTCTCTCCCTCTCTCTCTCTCCCTCTCTCTCTCTCCCTCTCCCTCTCTCCCTCTCTCCTCTCTCCCTCTCCCTCTCTCCCTCTCCCTCTCTCCCCTCTCCCTCCTCTCCCCTCCTCTCTCCCCTCTCCCTCTCTCCCTCTCCCTCTCTCCCTCTCCCTCTCTCCCTCTCCCTCTCCCTCTCTCCCTCTCCCTCTCTCCCTCTCCCTCCTCCCCCTCTATCCCTCTCCTTCCCTCTTCCCCTCTCCCTCTCTCCCTCTCCCTCTCTCCCTCTCCCTCTCTCCCTCTCCCCTCTCTCCCTCCTCCCTCTCTCCCCTCCCTCCCCTCTCTCCCCCCTCCTCCCTCTCTCCTCTCCCTCTCCTCTCTCTCCCTCTCTCTCTCTCCCTCTCTCTCTCCTCTCCTCCTCTCTCCTCTCCCTCTCTCTCTCTCCCTCTCTCTCTCTCCTTCTCTTCCTCTCTCTCTCTCTCTCTCTCTCTCTCTCTCTCTCTCCCCTCTCCCTCTCCCTCTCCTCTCTCTCTCTCTCTCTCTCTCTCTCTCTCTCTCTCTCTCCCTCTCCCTCTCCCTCTCTCTCTCTCTCTCTCTCCCTCTCCCTCTCCCTCTCCCTCTCTCTCTCTCTCTCTCTCTCTCCCTCTCCCTCTCTCTCTCTCTCTCTCTCTCTCTCTCTCTCTCTCTCTCTCTCTCTCTCTCTCCCTCTCCCTCTCCCTCTCCCTCTCTCCCTCTCCCTCTCCCTCTCCCTCTCTCTCTCTCTCTCTCTCTCTCTCTCTCTCTCTCTCTCTCTCCCTCTCCCTCTCCCTCTCCCTCTCCCTCTCCCTCTCCCTCTCCCTCTCCCTCTCCCTCTCCCTCTCCCTCTCCCTCTCCCTCTCCCTCTCCCTCTCCCTCTCTCCCAATTTTTCCCTCTTCCCCTCACATTTATCCAACCTCACGCCCTTACCCTCCACCCCCACCAACCAAACACACACAACACAGCTTACACTATGGCATCCCCATCCATGGTGGCTGCCGAGATGAGGTCCCGCTTCGGATGGAAACACAGGCCCACAATGCCGGATTTGGCCTCGTAATCTGGGGGGGCATTTGATTCCTTGACATTCGGCTCGATCCCAAACAGGCTCTCCATCGTGGCCTCTTCCCCGTCCTCAGATTCTGAGTCTGACTGGAGACAGAAGGGAAGGTGAGTAGGAGGAAATGCGGGTGTGGGTGTGGCAGTGATGTAGGTATGGAGATGGGTGTGGATACAGGTTGAAAGTGGGTGTAGGAGTGGATGTGGGTGTGAATGTTGGTGTTGATGTGGATGTGGGTGTGAATGTGGGTGTTGATGTGGATGTGGGTGTTGATGTGGATGTGGGTGTTGATGTGGATGTGGGTGTTGATGTGGATGTAGGTGTTGATGTTGATGTTGATGTTGATGTTGATGTGGATGTGGATGTGGATGTGGGTGTGAATGTAGGTATGGATGTTTGTGTATAGCAGGTGTGGATGTAAATGTGGGTATAGATGTCAGTGTATAGCAGGTGTGGATGAAAATGTGGATGTGACTGTGCCTGTGAATGTGGTTGTGGTTGCAGGTGGGTGTGAATATGAATATGAGTATGAGTATGAGTGTGAGTGTGAGTGTGAGTGTGAGTGTGAGTGTGAGTGTGAGTGTGAGCATGAGCATAAGCGTGACCATGAGCATGAGTATGGGTATGGGTATGGGTATGGGTATGGGTATGGGTATGGGTATGGGTATGGGTATGGGTATGGGTATGGATATGGGTATGGGTATGAGTATGAGTATGAGTGTGAGTGTGAGTGTGAGTATGAATGTGTGAGTGTGTGTGAGTGTGAACATATGTGAGCATGAGCATAAGTGAGTGAGAGCATGTGTGAGCGTGAATGTGAGTGCGGCTATGGGTGGGCATCTAAGTGTGGATGTGGGTGTGGGTATGGATGTAGGCGTGAATGTGGATGTGCATGAATCTTTGGATTTGGCTGGTGATTAGTGATTGGCAACTGGTGGTGTTGATGAAGAGTGAACAAAGGCAATTGAATTGAAAAATTTTAATGATATGAAAAATAATATTTGTCATAATGATTTGCTTGAGATATATATCAATATGAACAAAACATCCATAATATAAATTGATGTTAACTACAGTGGAAAGAATATCCCACTAAAATAAAATAAAAATATAGACAAAAGACTTACATCTTCCTCAGAATCACTTTTCATCTCTACAAAGTCCTGTAAAAGAAAAATATTTTAAATAAACAATACTCTGTTTATACCAGAAAATATAAAATTATGTAACTATTTTTCACTCTGTATAATAATCAACATAAATTTAACCCCTTGGTGCCGGGTATGACGTGTACGTACGTGCTATGCCCACAGTGAGTAATTGTTTGATTGTTTTTACGCATAGATGGCAACACTTGTACTAACTCCCCAATGAGCCAGTTACGAGCACCGCCCGTCTCGCCCGTTTACCCGTTTCTTTGATTTACAAAATATTTTACGTAATCTTATTTTGCTGTTACTAATGTTAAAAAAGATTATAAGAATTATAATGTTTATGATAAAAATAATACCATCGATTTTCATAGCACTAGTGAAAAATACGTTTTTCCCGCCATTTAAATCAGGTGCTAGCAGAGCCATCTATCGGCAGACATTTCACGAAAAACATAGAAAGTGGGCACAATATTTTCCTCATTTTTTGTTCATTTTCCCCGGCACCATTGGGTTAAAACAATAAAATGAAAATAAACTGTATATAACACAATTTTCTAATAAAGCACATGATGTACAAAAAAAAAAAAAAAATCATTTTTGGAACATATTGACTAATAAGCATAACTTTTAGATATAAATATTACAACTAATCTGTGGTCAACATGCCTCTTCATCATCAATGTCACTGCCATCCAGTTGGTCCATATCGTCGTCTTCATCCTCAACAGTCTGGTCTACATCATTGTCCTCATCATCATCTTCATTGTCACTGTCATTTATGTCACTGTCATTTGCATCGCTGTCATTTGCACCGACATCATCTGCGTCACTGTATTCAGCATCACTATCATTCTCAAGCTCTTCGCTGGAATCAACGTTGGCATGCCCATTGGCCTCCAGCTCTGCGTTATCCTCACTGCCATTTGCCACCCCGTTCTGGACTCCTTCTGGGTAATCTTCGCTGCCGTCCACTTCGTCATTGGAGTCTGCATCGGCGTTGTCTTCGTCATTGGAGATGCCATTAATCTCATCTTCGTCTTCGTCATCATCGGCCGCTTGTATTCCCCCCAGGGGAAACACACCACCTGGGGGAATTTCATCACTGGATTCATCTGAATCAGCTGGGTCTTCCTGGAAGTGGAGTTGTCATTCATTCACATGTAATACACCAGAAAAAAAGATGGCATGTGTAGGCAAGGTCTCTGGATTGCGCATGTTCTGGCACAATAAATTTCCCATCATCTCCACCTAACACATACAACAAAAAAAAAAATGCTGAATTAAACTGGTAACCTAAAAAATAATTTTGTATATTTAGAGCCGACAATAACATATTTCAGCTGAACAAGACATCTTTCTAATATTTCTGATAAATAATAAATGGGAGATTGTGGGAGAAGAGGTATTTTAACAGGGATTATCTAACTGATAACTGATCATTTCTCTAATTTCTTTATCTTTCATTTACATGGGAAACTCAAAAAACACACAAAAAAATTAGACAAACAAATAAGTCACTGCTTTCTTACTTAACAACAAGCTTGGTTTGCCTGAGATCACCCAAAAATTATCAGATTCTACTGAATTCAACACTTATGTTACTCATGACCATCTGTGATTCTAATTTATCAACTGTTCATCACTCATGGTCATGGAAGAAGTACAGACATGTGCTGTTAGATGAAAGATCAACAAATATTGTATTAAATGTATTGTGATGAATAATATGAAAGCTTCGGTGATGTTAGATGGCCCGTGATATATCCATGATTGATGATCAATATGGCTGTAATAAATCTGTAAATCTGCCTATACCTTCAAATGATTTCACAGGAAAATTGAACGAAATATTGTCAACTCCTTTCTTTGTTTTAAAGAATTAATAAATGGAACACACAGGCTGTGTTTAGCCTACCTTACCCTTATACTATAGACACTGCTCATTATATATGACCAACCAAACTATCAACTTAAACCCATCATGAAGAAAGAATAAGGAAGTTATTATCTTCAGTACCAATCCAACCCTGTGCTGTCTCTAATAAAAGTCGGTGCTGTCTTTAAATTAATCAGTATATGAGTAAATTGTAAAACATAGGGGTCTTTTCTTGCCTACAGATAATGAAAACTTCACCGTACTTAGCAAAAAAAATTAAGCTCTGTAATCGTAAAAGTGCCCCTTTCTGTATTACATACATACTAACTACAAAACTAATCACAGAGGAGCCCGTTTACTATATCTTCTAAAGTATCTCTGGATAAGAGCTATACCTGTCGCCTCTTTGATCCCTGAAGTAAGTACTTAAATATAACCTTTAGGATAGAAATAGCATCTAATAATGTGTCTATACAGTGGTTTTACAATTAATTACTTACATATTAACTGATGCAGCACATCAATTGATAATACTTGAAGAATTATTACCAAAAAGAATAAGCCTATATTTAAGATTAATGGCATCAAATACAGTTCTATTTCATTCTCCATGCTTACCTATACATTCAATTAATAGATTAAATATGCACTCACGACAAGGAAAATTTACAATGAAGAAACATAACTTAAGTGATTAAAAAAAAAATTGCACAAGATTTCTTAATTAAAAGGCGTGAGTCTGGCTTTGTACCGTTCATTATCATTATCATTATTATTTGTATCATTCATCACGCTACCCAACTTACCTACTCTAATTCCAGTCCAGAACGAGAATTAACTGACAAAAAACCTCCCAATTTCCCCCCAAAAATAATATGAAGAGAAATAGAAGGCAAATCAAACCTCGATTCAAAAACCACATTGTCCTCAACCCCTTACGAAAAACTACTTATATCTCCCATTACAGGTCGAAAAATATATCCCATCAAGATCCACGTGACGAGTAAGTGCCATAAATAACCTTGGAAAGTCGCAGTCGTTAAAATTACTCACGATATTTGGAATAAACGACCTCATTTTCATCCCGTCTCGTCCTCTTGTTTACACTCCATGAGGCTTCACGTGGGCCGCCGTTTTCTATGGC